GACTAAGACCTCACTAAAAATGAGGTCAACAGTTTAAATCACCAAAGTGCTCTGAATGTAAATAAGAAAGTGTAGGTGTGAGATATATAAATACATAAGAATTGTGAGCTACGCATGTAAATTTCTTTTAGTATTGTAATTATTTGCTTTGGAAGGCTAATTTAACTCGTTCGCCTGATTAGGAAATTTATTTAGTCGAACATGTTAACTTTGTATTACCTAACAAGTACTTTACGTGCTGTTGGGTGCATAATCTAATGTTATTGCCTCATATTTCTAAAGTGGAGGCCTTGGTTCAATTCCAAGAACAAATTATAGTCTATTTAATTTATAGGACTTATCAGGGAAAAATTGACTAATTTACAATGCCGGGCTAAATTACAGTGCATTTAATTGGACATCATACTTCAGGTATGAGTTATTAGAATGAATTTAGTTTTAATTATTTCAACGAAAATTGCTAGCATATATGAGCTATTTTAGATCTATATGGCAGATCTTTAGCTTGCAATACTTTATTCGCCTTTTTGATTTTGGTTAGCATGAATTTTAAATATTAAATCATGCATTTATAGATTAGCTTGTTTGTCTTGTCCTTATGTATTTGTGGCTCATAAAGTTGATCAATTAAGAATTTTTTTCATTCTAAATTTAAATGGGTTACAGTTATTGCTCCGTTGGTTCATTCAAGAGTTTAATCCGATAGAGTACTCATCTATGAGTTTTTTTACAGCCCGTCTCATGGCTTAGCCTTGTTTTGCTAATTATGACTGGCGGAGGACTAATTTTCTTTTATGATCGAGAGAAGAAGCGGCATATAGAAGGTAAAACGCTATACATTTCATAACGTCTACCTGCATTGTTTTATCTCTCCCTGCATTGGTTAGCCGATCCCACTTACTGGGATAAAAGCTTCTTGTTTTTTTTTAAAACCCTTTTTCTGTATCAACTTCTATATTGTGCTAAAGGTAGTTTACTTTTTTAGTTTCTGTATATTTTGAGGTTTAAACAATTCTCTCCTTTCACAGATTATGACTATTTTTATTGTTCTAATCCTTTTAATTAATATTGCATTTTTCGGCTTTCAGGACTGAAGGCCGCAACAAGCTCAGTAAAACAGGGACCCTCTGTGGGAACTCCTGCAATTGGTGGTCCATTTAAGCTGGTTAATGATAATGGAAAGTTTGTTACTGAAAAGGATTTTTTGGGGAAGTGGACTTTATTATATTTTGGATTTACTCACTGCCCTGATATTTGTCCTGATGAACTCCAGAAAATGGCTGCTGCTATTGAGAAAATTAGTAAGTTGTGGTTTCAAAATTCTTGCATAGAATCCCATTCGCCAACAAGAATAAAGTTTCCAGAACAAAATTATCAAATATTTTCCCAATGCACAATATTATTTGAACCATGCCTTCTAATAGTTTTTTTTTTCATGCTTGATTTTCATGTTTTCTTTTTCTTTTGTGAAATTTATTTACATACCACACAATTCTTAGGTATTCCCAAAGTTTGATATTTACATTTATAACACTTTTGTGTCATAAACATATGCTTGAAAAGCATATTTCACTTTTAAAAAGTTAATAATAATGCTATTTTTGATGTGATGGGGGGGGGGGGGGGGGGGACCTGAAACTTCTTATTCACAAATCAACCATTCACTTTCATCCATTTTTCAAATTCTCATTCAAATATCAAAATTCTTGGAAAAACCCTGTTACATTGGCGCCTAACCTAACGGCAAATTTATCTTTTATACGCCTAAGGACAATTTAGTCTTTTATTATTACTATTGTTGGGTATAAATAAGCTTGTTATGTCTAGGGTTAGGTTTATGCATGAGATTGGATTGTGAATCTTAGGTTTAGGGTTTGGGAGAGATTTTCTACCTCTCAAATTGTAGGGAGTGGGAGAGATTGCCTTTCTCTCAAATTGTAGATGCTTATTTTTTGTATTTTTGTTGAGTTGTTTGGATTATTGAGTAAATATTTTTGTTTACCCTAATGTGGAAAAGCGTGTCAATTTTGATGTCAGATCTTATCAAATTGGTATCAGAGCAAGATTTCATGGAAACAGTGCTTGGATAATCTCGATTAAAGCTTGCGGGGAAGGTAGCGATGACTTTGCAGTAGAGCAGGAAAGTTACGATTTTATGAAGATCACCTGAAACTTCTTATTCACAAATCAACCATTCACTTTCATCTATTTTTCAAATTCTCATTCAAATGTCAAAATTCTTGGAGAAACCCTGTTACATTGGTGCCTAACCTAACGACAAATTTATCTTTTATACGCCTAAGGACAATTTAGTCTTTTATTATTACTAGTGTTGGGTATAAATAGGCTTGTTATGTCTAGGGTTAGGTTTTGCATGAGATTGATTGTGAATCTTAGGTTTAGGGTTTGGGAGAGATTTCCTACCTTTCAAATTGTAGGAAGTGGGAGAGATTGCCTCTCTCTCGAATTGTTGATGCTTCTTTTGTATTCTTGTTGAGTTGTTTGGATTATTGAGAAAATATTTTTGTTTACCCTAATGTGGAAAAGCGTGTCAATTTTGATGTCAGATCTTATCAAATTGGTATCCGAGCAAGATTTCATGAAAACAGTGCTTGGGATCTTCATACAATCTCAATTAAAGCGTGCGGGGAAGGTAGCGATGACTTTGCAGTACAGCAGGAAAGTTAACGATTTTAGCGTTTAAGGATCGCTATGTGGGGGAAGGATCACGACATACAAAAGACTTCATGACTTCACCTCGTAAGTCAGTCGTGATTGGAGCTATCTAGGAAGAATCACGACTTATCAAAACTTGAACTCCCATTTTCCTCTTACTTCTGCTATGCGAAACATTTGCGCCGTTTATGCAATACGATCGCGATCAAAGCTAACTGGGAAGCGACATTCAAAGACCCAAAATTTCATCTTTCGTCTGGTTTCATGTTGCCTTCGTGACCGAACACTGCGATACAATCGGGTCGTCTATGCGATAATGTTGCGATCAGGGCTAGCTGGGAAGGCAAAGACCAGTAAGCATCTTACAGAGACCTGAAACTCTATCTTTCGACCGACGTCCTGTCACCTTTGTGAGCTAACATTGCAATACAGATACACTTAGAGCTTGCTGTCGTGATCGAAGCCTCGCAATGCCATCACGGTTTGATATATGGAAACAGATAGGATTGCCACATACATTCTTCTCCCTCACACCAAATTGTGCCAAAGAGAGTTGAATTGAATTAGTGGGGAAGGCTGCAACGGGATAGGGCGTGCCCTAATCGTGATCATAATTCTTAGCGAATAGATCTGGGATCAAGCGTGCCTTAGTAACAAGAAATAATAACGGCAAAGAAAATAGATGATTTGGAGAAGAAATTGGAGAGAGAAGGGGCAACTTAAATCCGGGATAGAGGAAAAGTTTTCCGCCATTGACACTTGATTCGAGAGCTTGGAGGAGACGTTGAGGAAGCATTTTGAGAGGCAATTCAAGACCTCACCAACGGTTCAGTTTGTAAATCTTACTCAAGGATTGACTGGAGATTCATTGGCTAAATCGAAAGGGAATGATATTCAGACAAGAAGAATATGATGAGGAAAGCATCCACCATTACGAAACTCCTCCCATGGCTCCCGATGGGGATGAATTAGAGATTTCTAAAGAAGATGGTCCGAAACATGGAGAATAAATTATGCAAGAGGTATCGAGGAGCATGAAGAAAAAATGAGAGAAGCATGGAGGGGATATGAATTTGATCAAATGAGAGTGTTCTACCCTCGATATATTGGGGGAAATAGCGGGAGAAGAGGAAGTTGGTGTGAAGAGGTTAGAGTTAGGAAGTTGAAGTTGCCGATTTTCGAGGGGAAAGTCACACATAGGTGGGTGTATCAAGCGAGCGATACTTTGCGGTGAATGGGCTAGATGGGGAGGAAAAACTCATGCCGGCATGTTTATGTTTGGAAGAGAGTTCTAGCCTGATTTCATTGGAGGGAGGCTAGATATACGGTCCATTCGTTGGTGGAATTCAAGGTTTGTTTGTGGGAATATTTTTGAGCAATTCGATAAGGAAACCTACACAAGAAATTATATGCATTGATTCAGGAGGGGATTATCATAAAATACTAAAAGAATTTGAGCTATTGTTGGGACGCTTGAGAGGGATTTTTGAAGCAGGATTGGAAGAAATTTTCATGAAGGGCTAAAGCCTAACTTAGTGGCATTACTCTTAACTATTGAGACCGCGGGGATTGAGGGAGACGATGGAGCTAGCTTAGATGGTAGAGGATAAGAATCAAATGAAGATGGTCAACAAAAACAACACAAATGGAACGTTGTACCGAACTGTTACAACCACGACGATACCAAAAGCTCAAGCAGTGGAACTCCCGAGGGAGGCTGCACATGACATGAATAATGGAGCACGACTGGGAGTAACACTCAAGCTCCTTACAGAGACAGATTTGGGAGAAGTGAGCCAAGGGGCTATATTTTCTGTGCAATGAGAAGTTTACTCCAGGACACCGTTGCAAGGATCAAAATTTACAAATTCTCATAGTGCATGATGAAGAGGCAGATAATGAGGGGGAGGAGGAACATTCAATTTTTCCGGTGTCTTTTGGGGTGGTATATTGTTACATTAGTGCCTATTCTGAGGGCAAATTTGTCTTTTGTACACTAAGGGCAATTCAACCTTTTATTACTATTATTATGGGTATAAATAGACTTGTTATGCCTATGGTTAGGTAACTTAGGTTTATGGATGAGATTAGATTGTGAGGCTTAGTTTTAGGTGTTGGGAGAGATCGTCAGCCTCTCGAATTGTAGTTACTTATCTTTGTATTCTTGTTGAGTTGTTTGATATATTAAAGAAATATTTGTGTTTGCCCTAATTTCTATGGCAAAGGGTTCGATTTTGACGTTGGATCGTATCAAACCCTAACCTGTATTTTTCATTTGTATCAAATTCTCAAGAATTTGATCGTGGCATGAGTAAACACTTCAGTCCGGTAGTTCAAAAAAATCACCCGGGTGGTTAATTTGTAAATAACAATGTTTCAGGTGGTCTATATGTAATTATCATTTTTTTTATTTTTTATTTTAGGAGCTTGGAAGTGAAGACCTGCTATTTGCGTTCTAAACTTTTATTTGATTGTTAGCAGTACCTTATCTGATATTTACAGCAAAAATTTTCAACTCCAAGTGCCAGAAATCTTTATCTATCGTGAGTTAGTCTCGTTGAGAAAAAAATGAACAAGCTTGATGCTTTTATTCATATAAAAATATTTGTGAAATTGGCTTGACTTTTTGAACTTTATATTTTGTGCAATCGGCACAACTTTTATGTTCTAGTTTAGTTCATTGAATACTAAGTTACAGATAATTCAAATGATGTGCCAGAAATCTGTATCAACCTTTAGTGAACATTGCTGTACGATTTTATATATTTGATTTTTATAAGCCATTCGGAAAGCAATATCAAGGCAGTTATTTTGATCTTTTTAAATTTATAGAAAAGACTTTTACTCTCAAACATATTGACTAAAAATGGGCTCCCATTCTTGGGTGGTTCAATCAAAGTTAAACAGGATTTTATTTTGCTTTGGAGAGTGTTGACTGGTTCACATAAGCAAATTGTAGTACATTTTAATTTTTATTATGGATTTTTTTTTAGAGTGAAGATTTACTCCATAGAAAATCATTTAGCATAACTTGGGGTTTTGTAGGAATTGCGATTATCTAATGTGTGGGAATAATGATCCTTGTTTTTTTATCTCATGAGCGGGATTGATTATCATATTTTGTTTTTTTCTATGATGAATATTTTATTACGTTTTTTTATTTTCTTTTTTGCGCATTCAGCTTCTTTATCTTAACTTTTAAATCATCATGCACAATTCTTGTATTCAACATTTTTATTTGATAGTTTGCAATAGATATTTTAGATGACTTGATAAGGTGAAAGACATCTAGTAATGATAACAATATTATTTTTTAAAAAAACTATTACTTGAGGATTTCAAAAAAAAAAAAAAATTTGGAGAGCCTAATTGATAGAATAATATGGTAAAGTTATAATTTATCTAAAAATACAAGTGAATTTAACTCTAAATAATACTTATGCATGAAATCCTTTGGGTCAATATACTATTGCTTGACATTTGGAGAGTTATAAATGATAGTAGTGTTGATTATTTTAATGAATTATGAAGTTAGGTTGATATCAACGACCGGAGAGAAGCATTTTGCATTCAAGAATAGATGAGATATTTAGGGTTGCAATAATTATAGAGAAATCATACTTGAATTTGATAATGAAGTTGTGAGAAATGGGACACAAACTTTGAAAATTTATGTTGATATTACAAATCAATTTGTTTTTTCTAGAAAGATCCATTATGGGATGGATTTTTTTGTGCAAAGGCAATTATTGAAAGATTGTAGAGAGTTAAAAAAGGATCTTGATCTTCATTATTATTTTTATTATTCTTAAAAATACTTAAAATTAAGCACCATCATGATTAATTTAGTGTGCATTAAGTAATATTTTGTGTTCAAGATACGTTGAATTTTTTAATAATATGTATTGTGGAGCATTGTATTATATTTTTGTGGATTTCCAATAATGATATGTTTATATAAATGATAAACACTAATCATGTATCCTTTTGTATTGGTGATGAAAATGTTATAATGTTTATCAACATAAAAAATGTATATAATGAGCAAGTCTAGGAAGCATGATTTTACTAATTATCAATCAGTATTATTGAAAGATGAAGTGATGTTTAGGTGTCAAAGTTTTAAGTCTTTTGATTCTATTTATGAAAGAATGAGTATATAAATAAGGTTGACTTATATAGCTAAATTGGACAGTTAAAATGGAAACGCATCCTAATTGTATTATTTAATGAAAGAAAATCACTAAGATTTAAAGGAAAATTTTATTAAATCACTATTAAGCCAATTAATTGAATTTATCAGTGCTAAGCAATAAAGAAGCTGTTGTTAGACCATGCTGAGTATAAAAAAAAAATTAAGGAAAGTTTAAAATGTTTTCATGACAAGATTAAAAAAGGATATATTAAGATAGCTATATTAATGTTGAAGGATTAAGGGAAAATTAATAAGATGCACCCTAATTAATTTCTCTATTTTTTTTTTTCCAGAAAAAAAATCAGGCTTGGTAATTGTCCCTGTTTTTATCTCTGTTGATCCAGAGAGGGATTCAGTTGAGCAAGTACATGATTATGTAAAAGGTATGTTTCAATCATTTTTTCAGTCTAGAGTGAATGATGGAGAAAGCAAGTGGGTAATTCACGCATTGAAAAGATTTCTGAAAACTGTATTCTGACTTTTTAACGTCGTTATTTCATTTTACAGAATTTCATCCTGATTTAATTGGACTGACTGGTACACCGAGTGAGGTTCGACAAGTCGCTCGAGCTTATCGAGTTTATTATATGAAGACTGAGGAGGAAGGCTCTGATTATCTCGTGGATCACTCTATTGTCATGTATGGCTTTTTTAACTTCTTTATTGTTTCTTTATTCATTCTTATGACCAATTTATTCCAGGATACATTTAATCATATATTAACAGTTTGGAAATATAAATTAAATTATTGGTTTAATATAAAATTTCAGCTTTGGAATGGTAAATCACATTTTGGATTTTGAGGGGTGGTTTTTTAATTATATCTATATTTTCATGTCAAATTGGCATTACACATGGTGTCTATTTTTTTTTGGTTTATTTATTTATTTATTATCTTGAAACTTAAGGGATATTGTCATAAGTATCCTCGCACTAAGTTTGATCAGTCAATTTTATGGCTAAACAATATGGGATGATTATGTCTCTTTTTTGCTTATATGTCACCTTACCTTTGAATGAAATGGTGCATTTCACATTTTTTTTAGTTAAAATAATCATATTTTTTATGTTATATGAAAGATTTGATTGGTATAAACATAAAAAAAAGTTAAATTTGTGTTAGATATGTAAATACATAGAATTGATTGGTATTGTTTACTATAGAAGCTGTGCATTTACATACATAGGACCCATTTTTAATGCATTTACATTCCGATCACCTAAACTTTACTTTTTTACATTTATACCTCTCAAATCATTCACATCTCATCAAAAGTATCACTATTTCAACTCTTAAATATGTAAAACACATAAGAATTAAGTGTTATATGTGCAAATCTTTCTTCTTATTTTATACTTCATTTTTGTTTTCGTGGATTGCAAAATCTATTTAATATTGCAAGCTGAGCATCATGTACAAATGGAATTTCAGGTACCTGATGGACCCAAACATGGAGTTTGTGAAATTTTATGGCAAGAATTATGATGTTGATTCACTTGCTGATGGCATAATCAAAGAGATAAAACAGTACAAAAAGTGAAACAGATGCTCTCTGGCCTTAAAATTTTGATCGGAGGTTTGCATTCATGTTGATTTTACAACTGAAAACTCTTCACAGGGATCAACAATTAACTATTTTTATCATTTCTGAAAACTGAAAGAGT